GTGGACTCATTCGTGTGCTGGTCTAAAAAGGAGGTGTTAAGGTGCATTGCTATTTTGAGGAACTGAAATAGACTGTGTCATTGACCAACTGAAAGCTGCCCTAAAGTCTTGCACAGAGTTATTAACGTTAACGTTAGTTATGCGCCTATGCAGGTCCAAATGCTTACACATTGCTTAATATACACAGGATGTACAGCAATATACAGCTATCTTTACATAAAAAATAAAGGATTAAAATGTTACAAAAATTATTATTTACTTCATAAATATTAAAAACGCGGACTTCATGCCTTCATGTTGGGGAGTTTTTTTTTAGTTTCTTCATGACAATTTGCATTTGTATAATGTTGTTAACATAATTAGCAGTTTTATTTATTATATGCATATTTATATTTGCATTAATAAAACCAACTATTTCTCCACCTGTCAGGTTTTGGAGACCTATGCATCACCAAATGGGGCATGAAAATAGGGTGTGTGTTTTGATATAACTTCCAAACACACTTTATTAATATTGTTCATTTATTCATTTGCTAGAAATTAGAACTGAATTTAGAACTAGTTTTGAAAAAAAAAATTGCGATTTAAACTAAATTAAATATGTAGGCTAATGGATGTCTTTAGTGGAGTGTGTACAACACCGCTTCCTCATCCACGAAAGTAAAGGAGTAAAGAGTGAAAGTGAAGAGGCTGAATGGAGGAGGCTTGTTCTTTATCCTCATGCTGCAGATGGTCTGTTTAACCATTTTCTCACTAATAAAGTGCTCAGTTTTTCCACTTTAGACTTTGCGCTTGGATCAATAAAATAGTAAATAACCCTGAATATTAAAATATATATAAAATGGTGACATTTCCTTCAGGTTTGACACAGGACGATTAATATGTGCCTGGGGACACATTTACAAAAATCACAATAACACTGTTAAAACTAAAAAATAATCAGGGGGGCTAATAATTCTGACTTCAACTGTGTGTGTGTATATATATATATATATATATATATATATATATATATATATATATATATATTAGCAATATCATTGTGTGCACAGGCTGAGTGCCCAAGTGCCCCACCAGTGACAATATACAGCCATATCACACTGCTATATGTGTATATAAAAAAGAAAATCAATCACAGAGAGTTTAAAAATCCTTTTGTACGAGGAACTACTTTCTTCCGCCAATAATTCACATCTGTAGCTGACGTTAGATCAGCAGAAACCCTAGTTATTTGCAATTAGGAAATATCAAGGGTTATTGAGGATCTAATCATCTCTGACGATAACTGCACGAATAAAGCAATGTAGCACAGCTTCTTAACATCCCTCGTCAACCTTCAAGGTATTTCAAAGCATTATACTGAAGGACTTGATATATCCTCATCCACTGCTGTTTTACTTAGCTGCCTAATCCAAAAATAGCATCTATTTGGGCACAAGGACAGCCTATAATATCATGTCATTGAAATTAAACTGGATCCACTGTCCAATTATGGACACTACTGTTCTGTTCCAAAATCTAGTGACCTGCCACCATACCCAGTAGTTTAATGCGCCATACCCAAACATGATGTGAAAGATTTTATGAAAAGACTCATTTGCAAAGAAGTTATTTCTGTAGGCTTTAAGAAAAGTTAATGTCTTGTAAATGTTCATATATAAATGTTCATATACCGTTGAAGTCAGAATTATTAGCCCCCCTTTAAATTATTATTATTTTTTTTATATTTCCCAAATGATGTTTAACAGAGCAAGGAAATTTTCACAGTATGTCTGATCATATTTTTTTCTTCTGGAGAAAGTCTTATTTGTTTAATTCCGGCTAAAATAAAAGCCGTTTAAAATTTTTTAAACACAATTTTAAGGGCAAAATTATTAGCCCCTTTAAGCTATTTTTTTCCGATAGTCTACAGAACAAACCATCATTATACAATAACTTGCCTAATTAACCTTACCTGCCTAGTTAACCTAATTAACCTAGTTAAGCCTTTAAATGTCACTTTAAGCTTTATAGAAGTGTCTTTGGGTGTTGGGCGGCTTATAATTCAGGGGGCTAATAATTTTGCCGATTTTTACGACGAATTCTGACTGTATGTGACAAATTAAAGCATAGTTAATAGTGAAACTGGTTGGACGGATGCGGTGGGAGGGATGAGAAGGGTGCGCAACGTATTTAAGGACTGGGAGGGAGAAGCGCAATTTCCGGGAGATTATTGTTTGCGGGCACCCAGGAGTCTCTGCATTTGCGAATATTCCGGGAGACTTGGGATGTCTGGAATGACATCCCGCCGTACTCATAATTCTCTCTTCATATAGCCGTATGCCTATTACATATCCATAATACACTGTGATATAACCGGGCTCGAATCGTATCGCTTTCTCACTACAATTGATCCGCTCCAGAGTTCGTTTCAATCGAGCCGAGACCACCTCGTTCCGGCGATCTCAGAGCGTTTGATTTGGTGCGGATCCGAGCGCGATTGGTGGTTTAACATATGCCAAACGAACCGCGCTAACTAATCAAAACGAGACGGTTTCGAAACAAAAGTCTAGGTGTAAAAGCACCCTAAATCAACAAACTATGTTTGTAACAATGAAACTTGTGACGTTAGTTTGCTACTAATGGTTTCGGAAATGCATCCCACAATGTAACATTGAAGGTAAAGGTCCTTTCCATTGGTTTTGTACAACAATTGAAATGGTACCACAGAGGGGCGAGTTCTGCAGGCACATAAGCCTGAAGCAGTCATTGGCAGCAAGTGTGGGTGAATGAATAAAATCATTATAAATGATTGAATATTGCATTGAAATGAATACAGTTTCAATTATGAATATAGTACTCCTATTTGAGCACACCTGCAAGCAATAATAATCATAACTTAATTATTAAATTTAAAATTTACACTTTGTTTTTAAAGTTTTAACTTTGAAAATGACACCGTGCCTGTCCCAAATAGCATATTTTTGCTCATGTTGAGCATCTGAAATGTTTTCCTCAATAAAATGTGTAGTATATATCTTTGCTGTATGTGCCTCATGATGAAATCGGAATGCTGAACATATTGAACTGAAAGTGAAAGGTTGATTTTCTTGCTGTCTTAGAAATCTCTTTTTTTATAAAACTGTGTTGAGACTAATTCAAGGGCAAAAAAGTCTGCATTGACAGATCCTATAACATGGATCAATGATTCAGAACACTGCTGCCAGTTTAGATGGGTCTTAGCTGCACTGGAGGCACTGAAAGGCTGCTTTGTGTTCATAACTGCAATGCACTATAGTATATCAATCAGTCATGTGTAGCTGTAGTATTATCATGTCTACATTACATCTATATATATATATATATATATATATAACTTTAATATAACATATAATAATATATTTCATATATATTATTATTATATATTATTATAACATAATAATAATATAATTTTCCTAAAATTACATATACAGTTGAAGTCTTATTAGCTCGCTTGAATTATTAGCTTCCTGTATACAAGTAGTGATTTCCAAATTTACTTTCACTTGTGTTTCATTGCAGACAATATGAACACAAAATGTTTCATGTTTTGTCTGGTCAACTTCATTGCATTTGTAAATGCACATCCTTAGTTTCCTGTCATTCAGACCTGCAACAAATTCCAAAACAGTTGTGACACGATCAGTTTATGGCTAGTAATCCGGTAAATTGGTTAATTAATAAGTGATTTGAAACAGGTGATGTCAACAGGTAATAGTAAATATGATTCGGTACAAAAGTAACATCCAAGAAAGGTCTAGTCCTTTAGGAGCAAAGATGGGCTGAGGATCGCCAGTTTGCCAATAAATACATCAGAAAATTATTGAAGCGTTTAAGAACAATTTATCTTAAAGAAAGAGAGAAAAATATTTGGATATTTCACCTTCAACAGTGAAAAACATCATTAAAAGATTCAAGGAATCTGGAGGAATTACAGTGCATAAAGGACAAAGGTGCAAACCTAAGCTAAACAACTGTGATCTCTGATCACTCAGGCGGCTTTGCATCAAGAATCCTCATTAATCTATAAGCAATATCACCACATAGAATCAGGACTACTGCAGCAAACCTTTGTCATGTACCACAAGATATAGTTACATCCACAAATGGCAGTTAAAACTATACTGCACAAAAGGAAGCCCTATGTTAACAGTGTCCAGAAGCGTGGTTGACTTCTATGGGCTCGGAGTTTTCTGGGATGAACAATCACACAGTGGTACTGTGTGCTTAGGGCGAAAGAATTAAAGGATCATCCAGACTGTTACCAAGTCCAAAAGCTAGGGTCTGGGTATGGGGTTGTGTCCTTTGGCGAATGTAAATTGCACTTCTGTCATGGCACCAATAATGCTGAAATGTACATAGAGAGCACAATTTTGGACCACAATATGCTGCCTTCTCTCCCAGGGTAGCGCATGTATATTTCAACAAGACAATGCAAAACTCCATTCTGCACAGATTACAAAGTCCTGGCTGTGGAGGAAGAGGATACAGGTACTTGACTGGCCTGCCCGCAGTCCTGACGTGTCTTCAATAGAGAATGTGTGGAGCATTTTGAAGCTCAAAATGCGACAACAAAGACAGCATGCTGTCTCACCTTGAGACTTTTTTGCAGGAAGAATGGGCAAAACTACAGCTGAAAGCCTTCATCACTTGGTGTTTTCAGTCTCTAAACATCTTTTAAGTGTTGTGAAAAGGAATGAATTTGCTGTAATTGTTTTGAATTACACTACTTATACATCCATTACACTTTATTCCACAATTAAACCTTCCCATATACAGTGCACGCAGAGAGTATTCATTGCGCTTCACTTTTTCCAAATTTTTTATGTTACAGCCTTGTTCCAAAATGGATTAAATTCATTTATTTCCTTAAAATGTGGAAAAGCGCTACGAATACTTTCTGGATGCACAGTGTATACACACACACACACACACACACACACACCATACTGACTGCCACTCTGCTTTCTGTGTTCTTCCAGCTGTGATGTCACGTGCCCATGAGGCTCCAGGTGAAATGGGGAAGGCTGTGGTGATTCCCAAAGAAGAGCAGGACAAGATGAAAGAACTCTTTAAAATCAATCAGTTCAACCTGATGGCCAGTGACATGATCGCGCTTAACAGGAGTCTGCCAGATGTCAGGCTGGATGGGTGAGTGTGTGTGACTAATGGCCCGTTTCCACTGACTGGTACAGTACGGTATGGGTGGGTATAGGTCACCTTTATTACCGTACGTTCACACCGAAAGCGGCGAGAGCGTCCAAGGTCGCTCTGGCCGCCCTGGCGACAACGCTGTCTGCCTTTAGCTCCGGCGGCGAGAGCGGCAAAACTCATTGATCTCGTACTTAAAGGAGCCGTTGCAGCATATCAGTTACATTCCTGCATAAGGCATGTTTTTAGCGTGAAAATGTTGCGCACTTTTTATCAAATTCATATAACAATGGAAGATCAAGTTGCGTGTGGTGTGGCTTTGCTCTATTTATCCAATATGTGTCCATATGTCTGAAATATCCTGAAGCAGCAGTACTGTTTTGTACTGTCACATCGCGTGAGATTCCCGCTTTTTAAAGATAAATTTATATAACATTAATGAACATCAGTAACTCGCCAGTAACTTATTTAATGTATGTTCCTGTAAGAAAACATTGGAAATTGGAAATCCGGCGACCGCAATAATCAAACCCTTGGGAACAACTTTGGTCGGAACCAAAGTTCACAGGTCTGTGTTCCCTGAACTGCTATCAAGCGGTGGACGTCTTCATTCTGATTGCTTGCCGCCGAACCGCGTCATAGCTCATTACCATAAAGTTGACTTCATTTCAACTCTCCTCGACGCTCACGCCGACGAAGGTGCGCCGCGCTGCTCCTCGCCGCTTATCGTCGCCTATTGCCGCCGGCTCTCATTGAAAATGAATGACTTCCGGCTACTTTGACGCTCTCGCCGCTTTCGGTGTGAACGTACGGTTAGGCTTGTGTTTCCACTGCCTAATGGCCCATTTTCACTGAGTGGTATGGTACGGTACGGTTCTCTTTTATGGCCATTTCCACTATCAAAAGGCGTACCAAACCAAACCGAACTGTACCGTACTACTTTTCGGCACCCTTTCACAAGAAAGGGGACCAAAAGGTGGAGCTACACGCGCAGCTATATGCTGATTGGTTACAGAGGTACGTCATGTGCTTGTGGAGCTAGCCAGAATGAAAATAAAGGAACCGCCATGTTTTAAACACACAGACGAGATATTACACCGTAATATCATATGCATATAATAACGAGCCATGGATGACCAGAGCTCAAACAAACCTTGTCGTTGTCTTGATGTACAGCCACAAAGCCAAGAAGAACAGAATCTGCCATGTCCTGTTGTTGTTTTATGAGGCCGTCTAAAAGTGCGAGCAGTTTTCACTTTCTCCAGTGGAGAAACAACCGTAGCGGTAGCGAAATGTTCTTAGAATGGTTTGGCACGATAAAGGAGAAGCGGCTCTAGTTTCTAGACATATCGGCCTAGAAAATGGCAACTTTACATTTTCCCTCATTATAAATTGTAACTGCTGAAGAGTTAAATTTTTATTGTTTTGAAATTATTAAAATATTTTTTCATAAAAAAATATATTGTAGACAATTAGCATAGCACAGTGAGCATAAAAAAACTGTTAAAGCAAAATAAAGGAATAGAGAATACATTAATAATCATACAGGGCATGCTAGCCTGTTAAACCAAAGAGTAAATGAGGGACGTATACTAAAACATATAATAGAAAAATTGGAATATACACCAATATTGTAATAAACTATACATGTACTGAACTTTACATAAAGGTAGAAGAGTCGAGCTTTAAATAGGAAAATTATCAAAAGTCTTTCATTTTATAATTTTTTTTTTTGAAAGTGAGATGCTAATGGTCTAATCCGATTCAATGATTTATGCTAAGCTAAGCTTAAGGTGCTCCTGCCAGACCTGGAGGTCAACTGAATAGACTAAAAATGGTAAAACTTCCATGTTTAATTTAAGTGGAGTTGCAAAATTAGCAAAAAAAAAAAAAAAAAAAAAAAGTGGTGTGTTCTTTTAAATGCTTCAGAAAACTGCACAATACTCTTTCTCAAAGAAAACGTCAGTCTGTGCAAATCAAGTTGGGGTAAGCTTAGATACATATGTCTCCTAAAGCAATACCAATGGTGTAATGTAATCCTGTAAAATAACCCATCAGCAGCCCATCTTGTTTTGCCCATTCACTCTTGCCTACAGCAAAAATCTCCAATGAGTTGCTGTTGGGTGGTATGCATAGATAGATTCTGTCGGCCGTCATCTGTAGTCTGCTTCCAGTTTGTGCCCTTTTGCCCCGTCTTGTCTGTGCAAACAAAGAGAAGCAGAACTATAAACCGTCAACTGCTGCTCATTTATTTATCTCCATCTCTGTTTGTTCCCTCACTCACTTTCTTTTTTCAGCTCACCCCAGTGCAGATTTCTGTTTTATTTAGGATCCCTTGGTGACACTTGACAGCTAGTACTTTACTGTAGTTACATTTATGGTAGAAAAATACACTTGATAGAAGGAAAATACACTCGGCAGTCTGGTATAAAAAGCACACAATGCTAGGGTGCTTTCACACCTAGACTTTTGTTTAAGAACCAATCTTGTTTGCCCAGTTTGCGCGGTTCGATTAGCATATGTGAAACACCCAATCACTCTCGGATCCGCGCCAAATCAATCGCTCAGAGATCGATTGAATGAGGTGGTCTCGGCTCGATTGAAAAGAAACTCTGGAGCGGATCGATTGCAGTGAGAAAGCAAGACGAGCCGAGCTTGTTTACATCACAGTGATTTATGGATATGTAATAGGCATACGGCTATATGAAGAGAGAATTATGAGTAGGGTGGGAAGTTTCGCGAGTCTCCAGATGCCCGCAAACGAGTGATAATCTCCCGGTAATCTCGCATCTCCCTCCCGGTCCTCAAATAGGCTACGTCGCGCACCCTTCTCACCCCTCCCCACCGCATCTCTCCACACTCTTCAGACACGTCACGCGCTCCTTGTCAAACACCACCAAACTCACCTGACAGCTGAGCGGGAATCTGCAAAATAAACCCTGACACTCTGACCAATGTGAGGAGAGTTTACTCACACGTGACTTGTTTTAGCTCTTTTGGTCCGATTAGAAACTTTTCAGTGTGAAAGCGAACCGCTCCAAGAGCAAAGAGCAACAATGTTACAATTTTAATGCCTGTTTCGGAACAACTGAATCGATTCACAGGTGTGAAAGCACCCTTAGTTAACCTGTAATTGTCACTGCATCTACAAAATGTTGCTTTTCTATTGATTTGAAGTGCTCATGTTATCCTCAATTTTGAAAAAATCCTTTGTATTGTAAATTGTAGATGTACCTTTATACACGCACTTTAAGGAAGAGAATGGCACAGTTTACCAAAACATGTAAAATCACAGTAAATGTGTATGTTTTTCACACTTTAATATTTCAGATCGTCAAACAAATTTTAATATTAGTCAAATACAGGGGTCACCAATCACGGTCCTGGAGGGCCGGTGTCCTTGCAGGGTTTAGCTCCAACTTGCCTCAACACACCTGCCTGGGTGTTTCAAGTATACCTAGTAAGAGCTTGATTGGCTTGTTCAGGTGTGTTTGATTAGAGTTGGAGCTAAAACCTGCAGGACACCGGCCCTCCAGGAACAAGTTTGGTGACCACTGGTCAAATATAACAAGTAAACGCTTCATACACTTTTTTTAAATGAAGGTTTTTATTGTTAAGGGAAAACAAAATGCAAAACTAAATAGCCCTCCCTGCTGAAAAGCCCAGCTTAAACCAGCCTAGGCTGGTTGGCTGGTTTTAGCTGGTTAACCAGCCTGGTTTTAGATGGGTTTTGGCCATTTCCAGGCTGGTTTCCGGCCTTTTTCACCCTAGTCTTAGCTGGTCAGGCTGGAATATGACCAGCTAAGACTAGGCTGGAAATGGCTGGAAACCAGCCTGGAATTGGCCAAAAACCAGCTAGTCAACCAGCTAAAACCAGCCAATAAGTTTAAGCTGGATTTTTCAGTAGGACTGTGTGGAAAAAGTAACCATTAGAGTGGCCTCTACACCTTAAAGACCTTTCTACTATTGCTCCAATTTTTGGAAATATATTCTTTCTATCTTCTTCAATGGACATGGTCTTAAACACCTAGAGGGAACATGGCCTAATTATAGTTGATCAACTATTCATGGATGATAATTTTGCATTGTTTATTATATGTTTACAATAATTAACATTACTTGTTCAGTATTTTAAAACATTGTCTTTATTTTCAACACGTTGATCATATTAACTTTGTTCTTGTGCCTTCTCCAGCTGTAAGACGAAGACCTACCCTGATGACCTTCCAAACACCAGCATTGTTATCGTGTTTCATAATGAGGCATGGAGTACACTGCTAAGAACCGTACACAGCGCCATAAACCGCTCGCCCAGACAACTGCTGTATGAGATACTGCTGGTGGATGATGCTAGTGAAAGAGGTTTTAATCAAATCATTTTCTTAAATGAATGTTTACATTTGCATTTCTATGTTAAGTCATTTATTTTATACCACAGTAGCCAAATTTAAATAAATCAAATTTAAATGTTGACTAGTGGATTTAGTGGTTCTAACCTTGAGTCTGAAATCAGTAGGCTAAAAAGCAAAACGGCTAATGCTAACGCTACCTCTATGGCAGTATAAAGGGTAGAAGAATAAAAGCCACTATTTGATTGGCTAAGATGCGCTTTGGTTGACCAAGTCTTGGTTAAGTTAGCATTACATTTTTTCAAATAGTAGGTAATAAAGACATTTTCATCTCCCCCATAGTAAGAAAAATCTGCCTTGAGGGCCTTGGCAGACATGAGGAGCCACCAAACCAACTGTAGTTTGGGAGTTATAAGAAGGGCTAGACTAAAGCCTGGTTTATACTTCTGCGTCAAGTGACCGGCGTAACCAACGGCGCATGCAACGCGCGTAGCGGTGCATTTATACTTTTGCCCGCTGTCTCTGTTGGCAGTGAGGTGTTGATGTGTCTCTGTGTCGAGTTTCTTCGCCTGCGTTTTGTTCTTTCTGAACGCTTCCTGGATGTACAAGTGCCTCAAACTCGCTCTTTTTGAGGCAGAAACCGGCGGACGTGTAACAACTTTAACTATGAGGTAAACACAAAACAAAACTTTCCATCCGGAGCTCCTTTGAGGGACTCCACACTTGTAAACAATCGCTTATTGGGCTCGCGCGGCTCTCTGTCCCGCCCAGACTCGTCAGCGCTACCAAGCCGACCAATCACAGAGCTTAAGCTATGCGTCGTTGCGACGTGTAGTTACATTTTTTTGAGAGGTGCACGTCAGCGACGACCACGGCGTAGGGCTATGCGTCAGCGCCGTAGCATACACGTGCGCTTTACGCAGAAGTATAAATCAGCCTTAAAGCTAAATTTTAACTATTTTAAACTATTTCTGGACAGAATTATTTATTTGTAAAGAAATCAATTGAATTTATGCAGAATGATTTTGAGAGTATATAAGCTGAAACCCTGACTTAAAAAATAGCTTAACTATTATTTAAGGTTTACAATGCAAATCCAATTATAACCACTAGTTTAGTAAACAAAGCTACAGCAGGTGTCCCATATAATAGATACACTTTCTTCTGTTAAACACAAAAGAAGATATTTTAAAACATGTTAGACACCTGTAACCTTTGACTTCCATAGTATTTTTAAAATTATTTTATAAGCAGATTTATTAATTTTTTTTGCTCTTTCTGGTTAAAGTTTTGATAGGATAGGAGCTGAAAGCCCAAGTAAAAAAATAAAATGATGTATTTTTATGCATACGTATTTAGTATTTAATATATAAGCATATTAAATTGAAGTACTTATATTTACAGTTAACAATGCGAATCCAATTTGATCCAATTGTTTGGTAAACAAAGCTATACAAATATTATATTTGTAATATGTAATAAAAAATATAACAAGTGTTAAGTGGCAGTGAAGGATTATACTATTCTAAAACGATATGTGGAGCATCACTGATGTTTTTGTTTGGCAGATTTTCTAAAGGAAAAATTGGAGGACTATGTTGCAACTCTGGAGGTTCCGGTGCGAATTTTGAGGATGGAGCAGCGAACTGGTTTGATTCGAGCAAGGCTGAGAGGGGCAGCCGCCACACGAGGACAGGTCATCACCTTTCTGGATGCCCACTGTGAGTGCACTACAGGCTGGCTGGAGCCTCTGATGGCACGGATCAAAGAGGACAGGTGAATGTGCTGAGAACTTTATACTCCATAATCTCAAACTTCAAATTTGCATAGACGTTTTTCAGAAGACTTAGTACTATTTTTGTGCTTCTTGTCAAAACTGAAAGGGAATAAAGTGCAATATAAACTGCATTTAAAAATAAGATTTATTGTTAAAGGGATAGTTCACCCCAAATGAAAACGTATTCACTAGTTAATCACCCTAATGAGATTTCAAACTTAGAGTTGCATTCAGCTGTTGATCACAAAAGAAGTTGTTTAGAAAAATGGAATAAACCTGTATCTATTTACGTCAATAGGAGCAAAAACAAATATTATGAAGTCAACGGTTACAGGTTTTCAGCATTTTTAATATCTTTTTTTTTTTTTGTTCAACAGAAGAAAGAAGCTCAAACTGGTTTGTGTCAAGTGAATGATGAGGAAATGATGATCAATGATCAGTTTTGAGTGAACTGTCTTTAACTTCTATCTTCAACATAAAACAAAATAAACTTGTTTTTCTTTCTGGCATAAGATCATTTATAGCATTTTTAAAAACTCACGTCATTTTGGCGTATTATTTCTTAAAACGAGACTATATGTTTTGCATGTGTAGAAAATGCTGCTTGAAATGCTACTGTGTATTGTAAATAAGGACATTGATTCATATTAAATGGATGTTCAGAGCAAGCAAATGTTTACAATAAAAAAGGATCGCAAAAGGATTTCAAGTGTAATAGATAACACTTTACAACGAAGTCTCCTTAGTAAATGTTAGTTAATGCATTTTCAATAGTAAGAAAAGGCCAGATTTATTGCAGTCACTGTGTTAATATTAGTTAGAAATACCACTGACTTTTATTCAGACCCCCAAGTTTTTTCAGATGTTTTGTTTTTCCTTCGAAAAAAAATTTCTGAATTTTTGTGGTGCTTATTTGTGGTGCTTATTATATATATACACACAGTTTAAGTCAGAATTATTAGCACCCTTTTGATTTTGATTTTCTTTTTTAAATATTTACCAAATGATGTTTAACAGAGCAAGGAAATTTTCACAGTATGTCTGATAATATTTTTTCTTCTGGAGGATAATTGTTAATTGTTTTATTTCGGCTAGAATAAAAGCAGTTTTAAATAAAAAAAAAAAAACCCTTTAAGCAAATTTTTTTTCGATAGTCTACAGAACAAACCATCGTTATACAATTACTTGCCTAACTACCCTAACCTGCCTAGTTCACCTAATTAACCTAGTTAATCCTTTACATGTCACTTTAAGCTGTATAGAAGTGTCTTGAAAAATATCTAGTCAAATATTATTTACTGTCATCATGGCAAAGATAAAATAAATCAGTTATTAAAAATAGGTTTCTAAAACTATTATGCTTAGAAATGTGCTGAAACAATCTTCCCTCCATTAAACAGAAATTTGGAAAAAACAATAAACAGGGGCGCTAATAAGTCAGGGGGCTAATATTTCTGACTTCAACTGTATATATATATATATATACACATATATATATATATATATATATATATATATATATATATATATATATATATATATGGAGAGAGAGAGATATAGATAAAAATATATAGATATATAAATAGATATATGGAAAAAATATATAATGTAATATCGTGCCCCTCTCTACTTTACAACCGCTTATGGTAGCCTCCAGATTTGTGGGTGGTCATTTTGGCGGATTTTGGATAGTTTTTGGGCTGGAATCAGTCAGCTACATTTGGCAAGACTGGTACTGTTCATGTGTATGCATGTGTGTGTAAGCCTGTAGAGTCGCTCTTAACTGAGGCAGTAACTAAGAAATGAACATCAGCTGATATTAATAAAGCTTTTTGTAGTTTTTATCACGAGTTTAGTTAATTTAACTAATGTGAATAATTAGAGCCTTATTGTACAGTTAACATACAATAGACCTATAAATACTTAGAATTTTTCATTTGTATTTCACTATGTAGTAGGCCAGGTTAATGGGAAAATATTAAGGTTGAAACTATGAAGTTAACCAATTTATTGTCCAAACATTTGGTGCTGGATGTATGGCGCTATTAATTTTAATAAATACTATTAATAATTATTCACTGTATATTGAAGTGCAGATGATATCAAATTTGTAAACGTTGCTTTTTTACAATATATTTAATTTATGAATATCGGCACATTTATACTGTTAAGTGAGGGATAAAGTATATCCAGTTGGTTGGTTTTGCATAATAAAGCACTAAAGGCTTATCGTCATAAGACTAAAAAAGACTGAAGAGCTTTATTCTGTGAAAACAACCACCAAGGTGTACAAATTTGTCACAGAACATTGTTCTTACCCGTAATAGTTGATTTTACATAAATGTAATTACAAACAATTCTTGACAAAATGTCCTTTTGTTTCATTGAAACACTGTGTTGAAGATGAATGGGTTATTTTTGTTTGTCATTCTAGGAGGGCTGTGGTCTGCCCGATTATTGATGTCATCAGTGATGAGACATTTGAGTACATGGCCGGCTCAGATATGACCTATGGGGGATTCAACTGGAAACTCAACTTTAGATGGTATCCAGTTCCTCAGAGAGAGATGGACCGCCGTAAAGGGGACCGGACCCTTCCTGTAAGGTAATCAATCAATCACTTAATTATTTAATTAATAAATTAATGTGCTTTAAAATTTGTATAAAATTATGTTTGCTCAGTAGCCTATAAATTATTCACAAATGACACTATGAATGACCCAGAAACAGTGCCAGACAGAATCAGCAGACTTTTTTTGCTATATCGGCACAAAATTTAGTCACACAAATTTGCAAATATATGGGTGGAATGATTTTAGGAGTATAGTAACTAAAAACATTAACTTTTTAACTGTTATTTAGGGTTTACTATGCAAATACTATTAAAAAGAAACAAACAAAAAAGGTCTCTCATATAGAGTACTGTGTAAAAGTCATATACAGTACTGTGCAAAGGTTTTAGGCCAACATTAAGGGCTCTATTTTGACGGTCCATGCGCTAAGTGCAAAGCGCAAAAGCTTTCAGGGCATGTCAGAATCCACTTTTGCTATTCTAATGACGGAAAGAACCGCTTTGTGCCATGGCGCATGGTCTAAAAAGGTTGAGTTTATTTCCTTAATGAGTTATAGGTGTGTTTTGAGGATTAACCAATCAGAGTCTCATCTCCCATTCCCTTTAAGAGTCAGTTGCGTAGCGCCCTAACGCATTTGCTATTTACATGACGCACTTTGTAAGTGGAAAAACTGAGCGCTTCACTAGCAAGAAAACAGTTAAACAGAGCATCTACAGCGCGAGAATTAGAGATAAGGCATCTCATAATCTACTTTCACTTTCGCTCTTGTGGATAGGGAAACCTTGTACAGACATCAATTAGCCTATAAATAATTAATTTTGTTTGTTAAGCGCAAAGATTTTTGTCAAAACTATTTCTAAATTCAGTTCTAATTTCCAGCAAACGAATAAATAAACAATAATAACGATGTGTTTAAAACCATGAGTTATATCCTAATAAAGATGCTGTGCCCCATATGGTCTAAAACCTGACAGATGGACAAATCTAAGCTTGTTTTTAATAAAACAAATATAAATATAGATATAATAAATAATACTGCTAATATTGATAACATTATACGAAAGCAAATTGTTATGAATGAAACTGATAAAGCCTCCCGAGATGAAGAAGGCATGAAGGCAGTGTTTTTAAATTCATGTAGGCTAGAAAATAATATGTTTTGTAATATTTTAATCCTTTATATTTATATCCTATATATATCCTTATTATATCCTATATATATATATCCTTAATATTTTAATTCTTTTTCATTTGTAAAGATATTTGCGTATTGCTCTACATCTTGTGTGTATTAAGCAGTGTGTAAGTGAGACGCATAACTAACGCGCCCTGCGTTGGACAATAGACCGGTTTTGTTTTGGTCTATTGTAAAATCTATTATAGTTTCTCAAAATAGCAACGCGCCAGCAATGCGCCTCAGAACGCCGTCCTTTTTAGATCAGAACGCCTATGGGCGCACATATGAGCGCTAATGCATTTGCTATTTAAACAGCGTAGCGCAAAACACCAAAGCGACTCTTGTACCAAGCTGAAACTAGCAAACAACAATTGCGCCATGCCTTGCGCCACATTGCGCTGGGTGTATGATAGGGCCCAAAAAACTGTTGTTTTTCTCATGATATAATGGATATATGTGACCCTTTACCACAGAATTAATCATAAGTGTAATTTTTTTGTCCATCTTTTTAATTGAGGTTTATACAGGGTAAATACATTATCTTTCAGTTGATGTATGGTTTGTTAGGACAGGAGTTTGGTTAGGTTAGAGTTTGAATTATTTTGATTTAATTAAGGCAGGGGTGTCCAAACTCGGTCCTGGAGGGCCGGTGTCCATCAGATTTTAGCTTCAACTTGCTTCAAAACACCTACAAGGATGTTTCTAGAATGTCTAGTAAGAGCTTGATTAGCTAGCCCAGGTGTGTCTGATTGGGGTTGGAACTAAACTTTGCAGGACACCGGCCCTCCAGGACAAGGTCTGGACATTCCTGAATTAAGGCATGTGTTGGAGAAAGACAGTGTTGTAGAGAGGCTGTTTGTCCTGGTTTGAGCTGCAGTGTTGCTTGTTATATTGTCTGAATTGATAGAATTGTAAAAGTTAAAAAGTACAGATTTTGAATCCAAAAAAAAAGTACAGGTTTAATAAAAAAAAGTACAGGTTTTAATCCATTATTCCACTCCTTCTGGAAAGGACTATCAGTGATAATAGTTTTCATTTTCAGTATGATAGTGATCCGCTACTTGCAGTGAAATCCTATTTGGAGCAAAGAAAACAGTTTATGAAACACAGCCAGTCATGAAATGGCCTCCACAGGGTCCAGACCAACTGGACAGAAAAAGAAAGATATGACACTCTAAACCTAAAGAGGAACCCTGAAAAGGGATGAAAGAAGGCTGAAATTACACAGCACATTATTTCAGAAAATGTCTGGACAATTAGAACAAAACGGTTCAAGCTGTGCTTGGTGCCAAGAGAAGGCACTTCAAACATAGACTTTTGTTTGAAGAGGAAATGTTGTGGTAGTGTTGTTGTTTTGTACATATTTCCTATATTTTCTGTTTGTTTTTAATGAAGAGACTGATTATATGTCGTGCCAAAGCAACCCGGGCTCATTGTGGAAACGTAGTCCCGCAAACATTTCTGGAGACCGCGGAATACGTCCCGGCGGGTACGTACGGCTGCAGTTTTTGTTTTCGCGAGTCCGTGAGAGGCCGCTGTTGTGCGCTTCGCCTGCGCTCTTCTCACGTGAACCCGCCGGAGGCCGCTGTCCGACTGACCGGATGATTGACTGCGCGACCGGCCAATCGGCCGACCCGCCCTCCTTCTTCCCCGAACCCAACCAATCTTACCGATCGACCCGCCCGCTCGCTTCCTTGAACCAGAGCAACAGTTTACAAAAGCCGTCCAAAAAAATAAAAGCCACGATTTTTTTATTTTATTTTTTTTTTATTTATTTTTTTTTCTACCGCGTTTTCGGATTTCACCGCGTTCTCACCCTGTCATGAAACTCGTTCACTTAATTTTTGTCTTACCTGATTGCTGGAACCGCTCTTCCTCGGACTCGAAACCGGTCACCGTGGTTGACTCCTCTCTGCATCTTGAGCCTGCTGACGTACACGGTGAGCTGAGTGGACAAACGGGTTGCAGCGGGGAAGCCCTCCACAAGGAGGTAAGCGGTCGGCCGGCAAGCGCAAAAGGGAACGGCGTCACACCGCCCAGCAGCGTTCGCTTGAAAAAAATAAATGCGGCCGTACGTACCCCCGGACGTATTCCGCTGTCTCCAGAAACGTCCGCAGGACTACGTTTTCAGAATGAGCTTGGGTTGCTTACTTTAACTCAGTACCGTATATAAAAGACGTAAAAGATATTACTTTACAAACTGTATTGTACATAAATCATACACCAATTTGCATATTATTCAGTAATAGATCTGAAACTAATCCTAAAAACTAAATCAATACATATGTTTAGACCCATTTACATAAGTTAATATATCAACTAAATGATGGGCTAACAAATCTGTGCAAATCTTCAGATTTCTCTGGGTGCAGATTCTGTGTGGTTTTAAGTATTGATCGGATGATTCTTCAACACATCAGTTAACATCAGGGTTCACGTCAGTTAATTTAGCCGTTGATGCTTAGTGCACATAAGAAATCAGTTCCTAATGAGATTTTGTTTGATTTCTTTTCTCAGAACTCCCACGATGGCAGGAGGTCTGTTCTCTATTGACCGAACGTATTTTGAAGAGATTGGCACCTATGACTCAGGGATGGATATATGGGGAGGCGAAAATCTTGAGATGTCTTTCAGGGTGAGGGTTATTTATTTATTTATTTATTTATTTATTTTGCTTTTTTAGATTAAACCGATTGTTCAACCAAAAAAGAGAATTCTGCAATTATTTTTATAGCATTTGTTTTTACTACTATGGAAGTCAATGGCTACAGGTTTCCCTGCTGAAAAATCCAGCTTAAACCAGCCTAGGCTGGTTGGCTGGTTTTAGCTGGTTGACCAGCCTGGTTTTAGAGGGGTTTTGGCCATTTTCAGGCTGGTTTCCAGCCATTTCCAGCCTGGTTTTAGCTGGTCTGGCTGGAAAATGACCAGCTAAATTCAGCTAAAACCAGCTTGACCAGCCTGGTTTAAGCTGGACAAAGCTGGTTTTGGCTGGACTCCCAGCTTGGCTAGGCTGGTCAAGCTGGTTTTAGCTGGTCATCTCCCAGTCTGATCAGCTAAGACCAGGCTGGAAATGACTGGAAACCAGCCTGGAAGTGGCCAAAACCCCTCTAAAACCAGCCTGGTCGACCAGCTAAAACCAAAATACTAATTAAATAAACTATTTTTAAAATAAATCAGTTATTAGAGATGAGTCTTTAAAATGATTATGTTCAGAAGTGCATTGAAAAAGATCTTCTCTCCGTTAAACAGAAATTATTAAAAAAAAATAAACAAGCGGTCTAATAATTCAGGGGGGTTAATAATTTTGACTTCAACTGTATATGGATTATTTTTGTGTTTACTAACATCCGGGGACAATTTTAAGTCAACAGCACATTTAAAAATATTTATTTAGAGATATATTTTCTTAGAAAAAGGGTGACGTGTTCGATACTTTTTTTTTCCCTGCTGTAGTTTGAACAAACATAATTTGTTTGTAAGTGTAGTTGATTTGATTCCGACAACATTGTTGATTCTGATGTGTTTTGTATGTATGTAAACAGATCTGGCAATGTGGAGGATCTCTAGAGATAGTGACATGTTCTCACGTCGGACATGTGTTCCGGAAAGCCACACCTTACAGCTTTCCGGGCGGGACTGGTCAGGTGATAAACAAGAACAACAGACGATTGGCTGAAGTCTGGATGGACGAGTTTAAAGATTTCTTCTACATCATCTCACCAGGTAATACTCCTGAAATTAAATCTATAATTGATGCACTGTATGTAATGAAGACCACAGCTTCGAAGATTCCACACTCCAAGACATACAGTTAATAAACTACACCATTGTTTGTTGTGAATCTGCACCCTCTAGTGGGGAAAATCACAAATTGCGCCTTGAATATCTATAATTTGTTTTACTGAAAAAAATAATACAATTACTATTCATGATAAATAAATAAAACATAAAATATTTCTGTTCCACAACCTTTCCAGTGTTTTTTTTCTTCTATAAAATACAGCATACCTCTTAATCCTGCCATGTAACATAAATATTGTATCATCATTCAACTTAAAGTGCCGTACAGTAGCTGTGCCACATCCACCTAAAGCATTTTCACATCCGTCTGCCTCGCTCACATTTGCTGATACCGAATGTTTTTTCGTGACAGTCTGTAGTGGTTGTATCCATGGGACACATGTTTCACCCTGATGAGAGTTTTTCCATCTTTTATTCATGCCTGGCTTTGCGCTAGGTGTCTGAGTAACGCTCGGCTGCTCACGCATTCATGGACGTTCTGCTTTTCTTATCTGCATTTCGCCCCCAGGGAGACCTGGGAAATGTAGTGCTTTAGTGGGGGTTAGAAAGCCTCAGCATACTGTACAAGGACAATAATGAGATTAGCCTTTACTGAGACCTCTGTCAGCTGACTTGAGAGGGAACGATTCTGGAAGATCTCTGTAATAATGTGGAGCAAATGAGGGAGATTGTTCCTGGAAAGGCATCCAAGTGGTGCTGTTGTGGTGTACCGAACAGAGACTATGGTGTGTGCATGTGTTTACTAGTTTTGAAGGTTTATTAGGACAAAAATATGTATAGTGACATGGCTATGACCAATGTTGAGGTGGTTTATGAGGACATGCCTTGTGTCCTTGTAATTCAAAGCTGTAGAAGCAGATGAAAAACTGCCTTTTGGCTAATTCTGGTACATTGTACTTTTTTATTGTATTATTAAAGGGGTGGTCCAGAATGTAATTTAAGGCTTGGTTGTGTTTATAAGATGCAAAGCAATGTGTGCTTATGGTTCACTTGAAGGAAATCGCGTAATTTTTTCATATATCTCACTTTGATTATACACAGCTACTCAGCTAACATGAAAACGACTGTCATATTTCCTAGTTCCTCTAAAAGGCCCGCCCTTAAGTGGCTCTGATTGGTCATCGTCATAATGTGCTGCTATTGGCGGATCGGCTTGAAGACTATTAGTGCAGTCCCGTGCGCACACACATAAGAGACACGAACGTGCTGGTGGAGTGAGTGTGTGTGTTACAGCAGTTTGGCCGATAGAAATTAATTTGTAGCTAAATCGTTTGCCCGCAAAGCAGCATTTCGCATTGTTTACATCATTGCTACAGCATACCGTTAACGCTAGACACTGTACATGTCATGATCAATTTTAACAAATAAAAACACTTACTTGTAGCTTACAACTTCTGCTTTGAGGAGATTTTAGCCGAATCCAGCACTGAACTGGGAAAGATTCTGGAGCTGTTTTGTCAAATCATGCTTGCTGAGTATTTTATAATTCTCTGGAAGATAATTAATATTGAACTGAAGGCACTTCTGTCTTTGTGTTGTGTCCTTTGGAATCCCAAATACAGAAACAGACGAAGCTCTGTGGAAACAGCAGCGTTTAGACGCATTTTTAAGCTTCATCTCTGCTATAACGTTACAGTGCTTCTGGCCACGGCCCTTACCTGCATACGCATTGTGGGATGCGCAGTAAACCAACTTGTGATTTCACAGGGGGCGGAAGTATTTTTTTGTAGTCCCCAAAATTCGTTCATTGTAGGCTTTGCTAAGCTAACTCTGTAAAAACCAAGGTCTCCCTTTGCATTGAACTTAGAACATTTTACATTCAGAGATGTTGTTTATGTTCACACAGCTACATTACACATCGACTAAAGTTTAAAATATGAGATCGTAGTGGACCACCCCTTTAAAGTCTCCATGAACTGGAAGCTGCGACCGTTTTTTTTTTTCACATTGTGGTGTAGTTCCTAGATAAATGGAACATTAAATAAGAAAACAGTAGGCTTTGCTTGTTTTTTTCTACTGTGAGCTGATTAAATGTAGTAAAGTAGGCTTTTCATTCGGAAGAGTTATTACAACCCATAGATAAATACACTAGATATTGCATGGGGACCCTGAACATGCATCAATAGCGCCGCCATATTTGTACAGTGCTCCCAGGACAAGCGTCATTCAACCGTACTAGTCAAGAAAGTGTTACTACGTGACGATGCTGGATTTTAGCGCTGTTGTACGGGTGTAGTAACGAACAAACAAAGAAAACAAAGCACAAAGGCAGAACATTTCATAGGTAAGATCAGTCAACGCCGCAGCCTACCTGAGTATTGATGCTGACCATGTCCATCCCCTTATGACCACAGTGTACACATCTTCCGATGGCTGCTTCCAGCAGGATAATGCACCATGTCCTAAAGTGTAAATCATCTCAGACTGGTTTCATGGACATGACATTGAGTTTACTGTTCTCAAATGGCCTCCCCAGTCACCAGAACTCAATCCAATAAAGCACCTTTGGTGGGATGTGGTGGAACGGGGAGATTTAAATCTTTGATGTGCAGCCAAAAAATCTGCAGCAACTGCGTGATGCTGTCATGTCAGTATGGAGGAAAAATCTCTGAGGAATATGTCCAGTACTTTGTTGAATCTATGCCACAACGGATTAAGGCAGTTCTGAAGGCAAAAGGGGCTCAAACCAGGTACTAGGAAGGTGTACCTAATAAAGTGGCCAGTTAGTGTATATTGTATGTAAATGATTACTGATATATGTGAACAAATTTGATAGTTTGCAATAGGCAGTAACTGTGGATGTTTTACATGAACTGATCTCTTTTCCATTAGACTGAACTCAGAGGAGAGCTGTAATAGGGGACACACTGTAGCTTAGCCCCAGTGATCACATCTGAGAGCAGCTCTGCCCCGCGGGCATTTAACCAAACACACAAGATCATTTATCATCTGCGCCACAGACAGAGAGAGAGATAAAGAGAGAATAGGTCAAAAAACAAGACCGAAAAAAATATCAAGGCAGACATAAAGAGGGAAAATGCTAGACTGCGGAAGAAATGCAGAACGTCAGCAGTCAGCAGGAAGACTTGAATGCATGACACTTCAGCTGTCAGTGTGTTCTCTGATCGCCAAAGCCTCTGGGAAGTCAGCAGCTCTGTCTCTCACTGTGTGTGTGTGTGGTGCAGATGTACCCTTTCTGTAGTGCCACACATAGAAGAGACCACACATCTAGGCCATCCCAAAGTAGGCCTGCGCCTCTTTGTTTAATATGGCGTGACATTAAAAACAGAATAATTAAAAATATTGAATTTGGTTGTTAATGCTATGATATCATAAAAAGATTATTATAATAATACAATGAACTTTTAGTGTGAACAAACTATCTG